TGCGATAACTATTCTGAATTCCGATTGGTTGGAGCTGTATCCTTTAATGTCCGGTAAACGGTGCTAAGCGAACAGCCGTTCATTGAGTTGGTACAGGGATGAAATAAGGCATTGATTAAAGCTCATTCAGGTGATGCATATACAACTGTGTTCCATTTAAAATGTATAGAATGAATGTCATTCAAGCAAGTGAACTAAAAATAGGAAGAAAATGGTGAGTACATGGTTCATTTCACAGTCAGAGAATACTAGAATCAAGATTAAACATGCAACTTTTTGTGTGTAAATTGTAATTTTTTTATGTACTTACACCTCTGAGTTTCATTCAGTAAACATAAGTGAGCTTGTATGCATTAATATTTCATTTAAGTCCCTTCTGACCAGTATGTGGCCTTTTTTTTTTTTTCTTAACTGAATGGAAGCCACATGCTATTTTGAGTATAAGTTTATTTCCTAGGTTTTCTGTTGTGCTCATTTGTGAAGTCCTCAGGCAAATAATTAATGATAATATATGCTTTTAACTGCACTAAGATGGGATGATGATGTCCCCATTTTACTGATTGCAGTTGGCCCGGGTAATCGTTGTAGGTTTCTTCCAACTGAACTATTCTGTTCTAGCGAGAAGCTGAATTGTGAACTGGATTCTTCTAATTTTTGGTATTATTTCAAATTCATTTCACAAGATACGCTTAAATGTGCTAGCTGATGAGCTGCAGTGCCAGTGCAGATTTGTCTTTATGCTTTTAGATTTATTTAAAAGAAAAATCGCTATATTGTGCTCTCTCTAGAATTTTTGGATTAAAAAAAAAGTATAGTTCTCTTTAAAAACTTTTTTCATAACAATACTTTGGAACAATTTATTCTAGAAATGCTTATATAGAATATTATGATGAAGATTCTCAAGTGTTCTCTCAAGGTATATCATTTAACCATTTTAAATACTACTTACTTGTAATATAAAACTGCATTTAAAATTGTCAGTCCAAAAAAATTAAATAACTTCCATTCCTTCTGTTGGTTTAGCATGTATTAGAGTATGCTGAGTAAAATCTTAAAATATTTTTTCCAAGTTACTTAAAATATTAACTATAATAAGGATGTGTGGGGTTTGCCCTTAACGTTTGACGTGTATAGCTTATGGGACTTGCTGTATATAATAGCATCACCTTGGATATTCGTTTCCCACCTTGCTGTTACAAGAAACTATTGAGTCCTCCCATTGTTCCCTGTGATCATAACACACTTGTAGGCATTTGTGATGTCACATTAGATGACCTGTTTCAGATTATGCCTGTAAGTATTATGTTTTTTAAGAGGCTAAATCACTGATTTAAAACTTATTTTTTTAACGTTTAATGCTTGAATTATAAACTGTTTGAAAGCCTTTTTTTAGCAGAGGCTGGTAAAGTCTCCTTTTCTTCTGTTGAAAACAGAAATTTTCCATGCTTTCTAGCATAGCAGAATTGTTGTTGATTGACTTGAAGTTGGAATACCAAAATCTGATATAAGCATTCTAGACACATTTTCTGTGGTAAAAAGAAAAACAAAACAGTTTATACTGAAATAAAAATAAATACATATATATACACACGCATACTAAGCAGTGAGTTTTTCTTTGTGCGTGCATTTTGAATATATGGCTTTTTCCAAGATACTTTCTGTATAAAGTAATGATTCTGGCACGTCCCTGCAAAGTACATCGCTTAGTTTTGTAGATATACTAAAGAATTTTTGTTCATATTGTAGGAATTGGCCCATGGACTAAGTGAACTTCTATCCTATGAAGGCAATGTCGAAGAGGATTTTTACTCAACCTTTCAGGTCATTAAATACACAATTATAAGTGATTCTCAAACTCATTCAGTAATTTTTACCAATGGTTCTGCAGTGGAGTGGCCTACTGCTGCGTGATTGCTCATTGTTTGGAATATAAGTGCATGGGCATTAAAGCCTGCTTCAAGAACCTGTCTAGTCCTGGGGCCTCGGGGCACACAGAGGCTGGCTCCGTTACCCGGCTTTAAGCTGTTGTCCCCTGACAGCGTAGGTGGACCTGACCACTGACCGCCAGGGTCGTGTGGGCGGATGCTGGTGCATTTCCAGCTCTTTGCTTGCTCTGACACTATCACCTTGCTATCCGTGACCTAGTTTGAGGAATTCATCTGGCTGCAAAACAATCCCTTTTCTGTCTAATCCAGATGCTAGCCAAAGCTTACTCTGGTTATTTTATACGCTTTGTCCGGGAAATCTCACGTGAACAATAGCCTGACCTGTATGTCTAACTGGTACTTCAATCAAGAAAGCCTTTTTCATTTATTCATTGTTTTAGAACGCATACTAGTTAGTAAAATTTCGTGCTGGTTTATGGAGATGTATTGGACTAGTATTGAGCTTTTTTCCTCAGCTTTGGATTACGTTATTGTCAAACCATGTGAGAATTTTTGTAAAGCGGGTACTTTTGAGTTTCCAGGTGAGCTACAGTGGAACAAATACCTTCTTAATTGTATTTGATGCTCCTAAATTGTTCTTTCATATGAAAAACTCTGTGGCTCCAGAGCCTGCAGGTCAGTTTTATATGTCACTGTCTAACAGGGTCAATTTTTCTACTTTGAATACCAATTTCTTAAGCAATTTGTTGAAAATTGTAATATTTAGCTTTTAAAAACCCTACAACCCTCAAAATTACAGCATGTGCTAAAGAGAGAGACAGGGGAAATACATTAAATAATAAATACAAGCTTTGTAATTTGCGACTGTATGAATGTATTTTCCAGTAGTGACGTTGACTTCTCTCCTTCTCCAGGTTTTTCAGGAAGAATTTGGTGTTATAAAATCTTACAATTTAAAGCCAAATGGAGATAAAATTCCAGTGACAAATCAGAATAGGAAAGGTACTTCAATACATATAAACTACACATATTTGGCAGATTTAAGTTTGTCCTTTTTTTCCTTCTTATAAGCCAAGGTTTTCTTTAACAAAGTGTGAAAGTGAAATTACTATAGTCCTTTCTGGTATGCCTACCAATTTAATAGTATCTAAAATGAAATGCATTCATTTTTCTTCATTCAATACAATTTGAGAGAGCACAACAAATGATTATTCAAAATTATTATGATGTAACAAAATAAAATGTTTTTGTTTCTTAGAATATGTGCAGCTCTATGTTGATTTTCTTCTCAACAAATCAATCTACAAACAATTTGCTGCTTTCTATTATGGATTTCATAGTGTCTGTGCTTCATATGCGTTACTGGTAAGAATAAAATGAAACATGACTCTTCTCTTCTGTTTCAAATATGTGCCAATGACTTATCTAAATTAAACAAATTACACTGGATGATTCTAGGATTCATGAATAATCTTGATTGGTAATTGTGAATAATTGTTGATTAATCCAACATAACAGTTGATTACCTGCTTAATTTCTTCTGCTTATCTGTAGTGTTCCATTGAAAACAGATAAATAAAGCTCCACAAGTTAGCTTTATCAGTATGCATTCACAGACGCTTCACAGGCTCTCATGTGAATGTTAACAGGGATTCGCTGTATTCCCTGTATTTATGAGCAGCAGAGCAACTATGTCTGTGTGCTCTTGAGTGACTCCTCTGAAAACACCTATTACTTTTTGCAGGAAGAACGCTCAGTGAGGTTGAAATTAAACATTCTTCTGTATTCAGTCCTGTTTGGCTGTTGGAATGCCTTTTGTAATTTGCATCATCCCTTGTGCAGTAAGAAGAGAAAGAAGAGGCAATTACAATTTGCATGAGATTTTCTTCATTCCTGTGAAATTAGCCAAGTATGACACACTTGCAGCAAAGTGAGATGTGACTAACTGCAGGGAAGGTTCTGGAAGGAGAATGGAAATCCATTGAAATGCCATGATGTGCTTTCATGCAATTTAACAATGTAGTAAATGAATAAGTAGATTCTGCAGGTGTAAGTTTAGTGGTTGTTAAACATGGTTCATTGTTATGTGTATTTGCTTTGCACAGCAGTATGTACAACTAAGAGTCAGGTTCTGTCAATCTCTGCTACTCATCAGCCTACGCTGGGACTTTTCAGTGTAAAATGGAATGGAAGTTGTAACCAAAAATTGGGATCAAGACCCTCCCTCTGAATTCCATGTGTACAAATTTAATTTTCCTCCTGACCCACTTGTAATCTAATCAGATGACAGGCAAGTCAGTGTAATAAATGCAAGAATGGAAAAGAAGTGAGAAACAAAAGAAATACACTAAAATAATGATGTTACCCAGTAATTTGCTTTTTACTATATACAGTAGTAAGAGATTCTTCAAAGTACTGAGGAATTAATTTTTCTATAATTCCAAAAGAAAAATTTAATCTGAATCTAGTAGCATCATTTCTCATCTTTAAAAAAATAAATATTTTATCCTTCATTTCTGGCAGCTGCTTCGTCCAGAAGAGGTTGAAATTCTTGTCTGTGGCAGTCCTGAACTGGATATGTCCGCTTTACAGCGAAGCACCCAATATGAGGGCTACCAAAAAACTGATCTTACTATACGGTAGGCTTAATTTTTTTCATTGTAATTACTGAGTTTAAAAACATCATAATCTGAGAATGATTGAAGTTTTTAAAATTTATTTCCAAATAAGACAAAGACACTATTAAAGTTAGATCCTTAATGGCATAATGTGTTGCTGAATACTTTTAAAAAGTTGTGATCAGGTTGAAATAGAGATAGTTTAAAAAAGAGTACCTTCAAATCCTGCATAGTGAAATCTGAGTCTTTATTTTTATTATCCAGTCTTCTAAAAATGCTTTTTCTCTTTTGATGCTATTTGATACTAACGACATTTATTTTAGTGAGTAGAGGCATTTATATTTGTATAGAAAAGTGGGTTTGGGCATCATTTGACAAGACTTGTCAAATCTTTAGGAGTTTATTTAACCTTGCATGTTAGGATACTACTGATGTCATATATTACATTAATTAAATTTCAGTAAATTACATTTATCATATAGTACTTGCAGTTGTATTATTATCATCACATTGTTTTGTCATGATATTGCATCTTACACCACTTTCTTCTCCCTCTGCCCTGAACATAGATACTTTTGGGATGTAGTACTTGCATTTTCTCTTGACCTTCAAAAGAAGCTGCTACATTTTGCTACTGGAAGTGATAGAGTACCTGTGGGAGGAATGGCTGATTTGAATTTCAAGATTTCAAAGAGTGAAACGTCCACTAATTGGTAAGTAGTTTTCTGGATTTTTAAAAATTTTGGTTCAATTATTTCCTGAGAGCCCATATCTCTCTTGAATGTCTTTTTGAAGAAAAGCAAACTAATGGATAAGGAAGAAACTGCATGGGCTTCTCTAGTTTCTCTTCAAAATGTTATATACCCATTTATTGATTGCATAAATTTTCCAGGTGACCATCTAATACAAAATTGATTCTCCAGTCAACGTTTATATTGGAGGCCAGGAATTCTTTATTTGTAGAGATTCCTTACATGTTTTCAATTCAAATAAATTATTTGTTTAATTGTTCCTAACATGACAGCTGAGCTAATGAAAATAGACTGTGAATCATCATGAATTGTTCTAAATTTGATGAGTCTGTTTGTCATTATGTATAGCAGCCACTTCAGTTGTGAGAAATGCTTGCATTCTTTCTTGATGGTCTAAATAAGAATTTTAACACACATAGCTAGAGAAGATGTAGCATTCCTTTAGGGTCTCTGCTGAGTAGGTATATGGCTGATCCAGAGGTTGCTCAGAAGAAATAGGAACAAAGCAGCCTTATAATTTCATTGCGAAGGTTAAATTGTTCATGCCAAGTTCTTATGTTTCTGGTAGTGTTTTATTTTGTATTGAATTGACTTGAGAAATTCGACATACTTTCCAGCTAGTATTTTCCTTCTCAAGATTGGAGAAAGTCCATTTAGATAATTTGGAAAGCTGTATAGAAAAGCTTACTGGTCTGAAACTCACTGCTAAGCAGTAACCGCTGACAAGCAGTAATTACTGGCTTTACATAAATTTCTCAAACATTTAAGGTAATCAAAATACTTAAATGGAACCATATTTTTAAAGTCAAAATTTCCTTGGGTTTTCTGTGGAGAGATGAATTAAATGCATAAACATAATAAATACTGATTTTTGTTTTTAAATTTGGGTTATCTCATTTCCTGTGGTATTTCTAATGCTTTATCAATGAGCTAATAATTGTTTCCAGTAACATGTTAAAGGAACATGCGGATCTGACCAAAAATCAGTTCACATTGAATCGCTGTTTATTTTGCTGTAAATTGTTCTTTTTCTTAAAAATAGGAATATGTGTTTTGAAATAGTGTGCATTTTAAAATTCTGTAGGTCTGTGTTTTGCAAGATAATTGTCACAGTCAGACTGCCTGCATGGGGATGAACATAGACATGTCGACATTGCATTGCTCACACAGTAGGATCAACGAATATAGCAATAAGAATTGCCGAATTAATATCCGGTTTCGCAACTTTCCAAATTCTGAAGCACGTGACTCCAGACTGATTAACAGATCTTTGCTTGCTTGTTTAAAGGGCGGAGAGGGGGAAGTAGCTTGGGTTTCCAGATCTGGGGGGGGATTCCACCCCCTTTCAAGAACATTTGCTAATGACCAAAGGCCACTCGGCTGCCATTCAAAAGACTAAGGGCTTTAATGAAAACAGAACTAGAGTGCTTTTGAGTCACATACTAAAATTTAACTTTGAAGTGTCCAAGTTCTAGAAATTTTTCAGTGTGTTGGGTTAATTCCAAATGTCAGGTTGAACTTCGGCTCATTGTCTTTCTCCTGTCTCCCCACAAGTAATCAGTTGTAGGACAAGTCTATATCCTCAGTGTTGTCCTGTGTGTCACTTGAGGGCATGAAGGGCGAGAAGATCCTGTAGCTTCTTCTTGCCTGTGGCTATGAGGCAGAATGTTAGTGGCATCTCATACTGATGGCAAAACAAATGCTTCTGCTACTGAAGAGCAGTTCTCATCAAACCAATCCGTTCTAGTGGGGAGCAGAGTTTCCAGTGTTTCAGTCGGGCAATCCAAAGTGATACCTGCAATATACATTACAACTCAGCTCTCAGAAGAAACTTGCAACTGAAAGTGTTGGTGTGGCTAAGACCAAAATTTGTGAACTCCTGTTTTGCTAGGGCTTCAGTCAGCTCCTCAGTACTTCCCGCTGAGATGTGTCTGTAAAGATGTGTTTTACCAGACTGAACTCCGAGTTCTGTATCCTTACAGTATCTGTGGTTCATCTAGGTGTTTCTATACATACTCCAGGACCCATCTTCCTTCTTCCTGTTGTGGATTCTGATTATACCCAGATTTTCTATTTAGAGAAAAACTGATTTTGAAGTCATGTGGTACCAACAGTAGTGTTATTTGTGTTCAACAGAACTTGAACCAACATTAGGATAAATGTTCCTTTTACAGGGTTTCTTATTTAAGTAATGTTTAATGAAAATGTGTAGGCAGTTGGCAGTGTTCTGCTTCTCGTTCATTATTATTAAATGTGTTTTGTTGGGGTTTTCTTAAATTATTTTAGGTTACCTGTGGCCCACACCTGCTTCAACCAGCTTTGTCTCCCTCCTTACAAGAACAAGAAGGAACTGAAGCAGAAGTTGATCATTGGAATTTCAAATGCAGAGGGTTTTGGCCTAGAATAAAATGAAATACTTCAAGAACAGCATTTTTATGTAGCATTCACTCTCTTCTAATTGTGCCTTTAAGCTTTTTGTCGTTATGTCTCTTGATACTGTGCCAGTCTTACCCAACTTAGATATACTTTTTTTTAAATTAAATATAAAGTGTATGTTTTTTCCTGAATGGCAATACATTTACTGCTTGCTTTGTCACAAAAAGTAGCTTTCTTCATACAGAAGGTTAGTCTATTTGATAAACGAAACCTAAGACAATTTCTAAGTTATAGTTTGTTTCTCTTTTTTCTTAATAGCACTTTATCATTAATCATAATTCCTTTACATCACAGGTATCCCACTGGGAGATAATAAACAGAATATTTCTTTATTAGTTAATCCCAGTGGTAGAATGTTTTCAGTTAACATGAATAATAGAAAAAAATATTACATAAAGCATGTAGCCATATTTTCACAAAGGCAAATAGGAATTTTAGTCTTTATAAAATGTCTGAAGTTTTAATATTCTGGTTTTCCTTCTCTATGAAACAGGCGGTCTAAGAAGCATGTAAATAACTGCCTGTGAACAAATAGGGTTTTGATAGTGCCATTTACTGCTAAAAATTTATTTTTTATGAATAAGAGGTTTTAGATGTTCTATATTCAGCTTTTACAGATCAACAGGCTTGACTGTACAAGAGTGTGAAAAGGTACTTTTTTCAGCTTGAAGGGGATTCAAGTTCAAACGACAGGTGTTAAGCAACTTGTATGTTCATTCTTTGACAGCTAACTTACCTGATCTACTGTAGCGTTATAGTAAACAAAACTAGATATTTAAAATAAATTCCACATGTGGTGAAATATTTCAGGAAAAGAATGAAATCCACAACCCATGGAAAACTGATATAGTGCATCATGCCATCATTTTTTTCCGCAACTTTGTTGAAGATTCTTAAGTAAGCTGTGACAAAAGTGAATACAATAACATTTCAGAAGAATGTTGAAGCTTTCATTAACTTGAAAGCCAGCATTTAAAGACAACGTTTTGTGGTTTTCACTGCACAAACTACATGAAAAGAATTCTTGGTATGCCTGCTCTGAGTTAGTAAATGAGGAGCTGGGAAGGAAACTCCTTCTAAAATGCAGATGTAATTGTAAGTCTGGCTTTTATTCATTAAATGGAAGGAGTTTATCAGCATGCAGTATAGTATTTTTTTTTAAATATGAATAGCTACTATGCGTTCTATAGATTTTTTTTCTTTCAGCTAAATGAAGCCCAGATCGTTAAAGACACTTCAGCATCTAATTTGTCAGCTTTCCCCGTTGAGTTCTGCTGGGGCATGGATACCTAAATATCCTGTAGTGTCTGTACTGAATTACTTATTTGCAATAAGAGTAAAATATATCATTCTCGTTTTCCCTCGTTGTATTATTTACATACAACCAACAGATTTACATGTGATGAACAAATTAATTTGCCTAATCCATAGTTTCAAAGCTGTTGTGGATTTTCTTCAATAGCTAAATGCAAATTTTATTTTATTCTGTTTCCTAGAGAAGGTACTGATGGTTATACTGTTTTATTAAACAGATAAATACTGGGATATTTTAAAATATTTGGCACTGTATTCATTGTGCTCTCCTTGAAACTAATAATAAAATTTCCATTGGCTTCAGCCTGGAACAAAACTAGGTTAGCATGGAGAGCGTTAAAAGCAGCATTTCGAACCTGTGCATTTTACATTGTTTCTCCCAAATGGAGATTTTAAAATAAAACAGGATTTCAGATGTTAAGAAACAAATGAAACTTTCACCATTGCACTGAATGAACTAGATAGCTTCAAGCAATGTAAAATTTCTAACAGATGAATGTGGATGTGGGTAAGAAATCTGGAAACAAACAGCTCCTGCTTTTCCCCTCTCTGTAGAATTGGATTCATAGAAGGTTGGCTTATGAATAAATAGCTATACAGTTTATCTGAAAACACGGCATATTAGCCAAAATATTTTTTTATGGCTTAAGCCCACTTTTAATAACTATTTATCTATTATTGTTAAAAGCTTTATCTTCTTATTTTCACTGAATTGCACTTTGCCTTGGGTTTAGTTTTATTTATTGAAGCTTTTTTGATTTACTGTATAATATTACCTCAGAATTCTAAAAAGGCTATTGTATTTGCATCAGTTTTTAAATAAGATTGTCATTCAATGACATTTTATATAGTTCCTGATGTTGATAAATTAAATAGTAAATTTTGTATTTGTTAAATGAAAGCATTGCACTGTATTTATGAAATAAGCCTCTGATAATTTTAAAACTTTTCCTCAATGATGTTTTGTTGTTCTTTTGTCTTGCCCTGTAATCCAGCAAATCTTTTTTTTATCTCCATCTTTGTTTTGTACCGTACAAAAGAAATCTGGTTTGTATAAACTTGTTCATTACTAAGTATCTATTTTTATGTATTAAAATTGTGCAGTCATTAAATCAAATATTTCAATTTCTAGCCTCACTTGTTTAATTTCAGATTTCCAAAATTGATCATAATGGGGTTGAAGATATGATGAACATATCTACTTTTGTCTTGTTTTTCTTCTGAAAAGTCTTTACAGTAACAGTTTTGCTAAAACATTGTATGGCTCACTGAAAAAAAAATTCAATTTTTTGATTTTCAACTAGCAGCCATACACCCTAAAGGATATTCCATATTTATAGTCAAAATTACAGGTGTTCCAGTGCATACCATGGTGTAATAATGCTGTAAAATAGCATGGATCCTCAGCTTAATTTTCTTATTTTTTTTATTTCCTCAGTTGCAAGATTACTTTGAGGTACAATGAGAGGCAGAGCCAAGTTGTTGTATGTTTTATCTTTTTCTGACGAATTTTAACATTAAAATCGGGAGGGGCAGAGAAGAACAACATCACACTTTCTCATGGACACGGGTCCTGATCGCAGCACTAATATCTGTGCAGATGCAAACCTGCTTTTTGTCTCCTTTGTACCACTCGAGTTACCTACAGATGGCAGCAAAGATGAGGATTGAAACCACTTAATTAGACGTCAGACTTTCCTCTTAACTAATGTTAGATATTTTAAGTTCAAATAATGAAGAAAAAAGTTGTATCTTATGTATATCACAAATAATTGTAGATTCACAAAATTGGCAAATATAAATTGGCTTCTGCTTCTGTCTAGCGTTGGGTTTTGAAAATGTCTTCTCTGTCCATGAAGAGTTCCCTAATGTCTATTGGGATCAATGAGAATCTCTGCCAAAGCCTCAAAGAGAGGGGATTGATTGTTACTGATTTCTGAACAGTCAATAGCCTCAAGACTGATATTTAGAAAGAGGTTAGAAAACCTAGCTCGCCTTGTCCTGGTCCACCTAGGGACCAGATGGCTGGTGCTGGGACCTGAAGTTGAAATGCAGTGGCGAAAAGCGGTGAGGTTCCTTCTCTGTGGTTGCAGTTGGTGGTGGTACTGGTTGACTTGCTCCAAAAGCAAATGCTGTATCTGTTGTTATTTTCCATAGCTGTGGTATTTAATATTCTTTCGGAATCCTTCCCTGGTAAAACTGAAATATTTTAAAGGTCCCTCAGAGCCTCTGTTTTCACGTCCTGACCAGCAGTCTGTAAGACCACGTGGTTTTCCTTCTAGAGTTCTCTTCCAAGAAAATTGCTTTTTTGTTTGGGTCAAGTAATTTTCCATTCTCTTTGGATTTTTTTTTCTTCAAGATCTGTGCTGTCCTATGTGTTGTTGAAGTTCCTTGCACTTTTAAAGATTCGTAGTGTCTAGGAAAATAATAACGGGGCAGCTTGGACTGCCCCAGCTGTTTCACATGTGTTAGAAATGTTCTGATTCATAGTCAAGTGCGTTTTGTTGTTAAATTAATTAGCAAAAATGGGCCCCCAGAGTTCTGCACCTTTCAAATTGTTAATTAAATTCTTATTAAAGTCTTTAAACCCCAATGTCTTCATGTAAAATATAACAGCAGAACAGGTATGGCAAGGGTTATTATAGTTTGATATAGTTAGTGTGTTCCTAACTGTAGAATGGATATTTGATTCAAAAATAATTTGTTCTACACACTACATTTAGAAGAGAACTCTGAGGTCAAGGAAGATGGAGAGATTGTGCTTCTGAGGATCTGGTAGAGTGGTTGCTCATTAAACTTTGGAAGAGTGGGAAAAGTTCATGTAAGTTGGGCAGCACCTAACATAAGTTCAGTTCTGGACTCTTCTGCAGTACAATGTTAAATAATGCCTACATTTGTAAGAATAGGATATATACATTAATGGTTTTGTTGCGTATTTCAAGAGCTTTATGTTCTACCACAGCAAGGCTTCATTTACCATTTTTCTTTTTGGTTTTTATGATTTGATATTTGTAGTGAGTGATGAAGAGACTGTTACTTTCTGATACAATAGCTTCTTCCCGTGAGAGTTGTCCTAGATTATGTAAATGTATGATGGTCAGGTTTAATTTATGGGCTGCTTGTTTATGCGGTACCTTAACTATATGCATACTTTCATGTTAACCAGGAGAATGCATCTGTTCTGACAGAGTCCTCACTATCTTTACACTAGCATCTCTGGCTGTTGCCACACTACGGATAATACCAATCCAGCCTCCGCTGGTCTCTGTAGGCATTATCAGAACAGAACTCTTTGTAACCATGTGAAAGGTATTCAAAACATCTTCTCAATGAGTGGGTTTACTCAATGTATGTTCAGTCTCTTTGCTCTAGTGGAGAGCTAGAATATTCATTTATTTGCTATTCATTTCGTGTCAGCAGCGATACTCTGGAGGGCAGGAACTGTCGTTTGTCCCCTGGAAAATCATTCCAGCTGGACATAAAGTAGCCAAAGCACAGTCATTTTGAAGATAGTGTGGTTAAAACTGAAATGTGGGTCTTGGTTTGGGTTGTCTCACAGTGATTTTATGTAACCTCACACACCTTATTTTCAAGGACTGTGGCAGCAGCATGTATACTGCTTGGGGTTTTCCATAGATGGCCTTGAGTAGGAGGAAGGAAAGAGTAGATGGGCCAGTAACATGCCAGTGAGCAGAGAAGGCACTCAATTTTGTCCTCTCACTCATCTACTTCACAGAGGGATCTTTTCCTAAACCTTTCTGGATTCCAAGGTGGAGGGGTATCCTGCTCAGATTTTAAAATTCCCCATCCAACATGTTCTGTGATACTAAATGCATCATATTAATTGTTTAACATTTCACTTCAT